TTTTTAGAGAATGTATTTTGTAATTAGCATTTACTGACAAAGTGATGATTTTGATTTGTATGCATTAAAGTAATATTTGATTTCTTTCTAGATGGGAGCATTTGATTTACCAGTTTGGAGGCCATCACGAATTAATTGAATATGTTATAGCTAAAGGAAAGGTCATCTACAAAAAATGATAGATCTAGGAAAAGGACAGATTCTTTGACTGTATAAAATAAGTCAATATAGTTATGTTAAAAGTTAAAATACCTTAGTAGTTTAAGAATGAAGTAACTGGAATATATTTCAGTATTTTGTTAATATCCTTGAAAGAACCCAAGAGATTAATTTATTTTAATTTAACATGTGCACCTACATATGTAAACAAGTAAACCAATTGTGATGATAATCTCAAAATATTCAATTATTTCACAAAGATTTGTTATAAATATTCTGAGGATTACTATGACGGAGTATCACAGAAATGCCTTTGTGGGAAAAGCAGATTGGCAATGAGGTAGACATGGCCTAAAATTCCCACTTTGTTTCTGTTTCAGATTTTAGTTCTTATACTATATTTAGTGAAGATTGGGGGATGGTGGGTGATATGCTCCAAACTAAGCTAAAAGTCAGCAGTCTATAATAAACAAATAGTTTTCCTTTTCCACACACAGTCTGCCTCTCTGGTTGCTCTTCGAGTGCCTTAGTGTACTCTGAGGCAGGGTGTCCTTCTATTTCTAATTTCTTCTCAACTCTAGCAATAGAGCTTCACACCAGAGTTCAAGACTCATTTTACACACAACTACAGGGGCCTTCCTGTAATGAATGTATTTTGACCAAATCCAATACTGTAATTTTAATTTTTTTGAATTAAAATTAATTTTTTAACAGAGGTACTAGGGATTGAACTCAGGACCTCGTGCATGCTAAGCATGCGCTTTACCACTGAGCTGTGATGCCCACCACCCCTCATATTGTAAGTTTTTAAATTTGTTTTTAAGTTTTGATTCTTCACATTACAAATGTATTGAAAATGTTATGGCTCTCAATAAATATTGGCTGTCACTGTTATTGTTGTTCTTGTTTACAGCCCTGGAAGCAGCTCAGTGGTGTTGTCTATTAGAGCTTTTTAGGAAATGAACAAATTACAGAAGAAAATTGATTGCTTGAAGGAAAAGTGAATGGTTACATAAATAGGTGTCTCTAAAGCCATGTGAGTTGACTTGAACTCTTTTTTAATGCTTTTAATCATCCTTATGATCACAACTACATGATCAAATGTTGTTCTATTTATGAAGAGATGACTCGAGAATTAAATATTCACTTTAAAACCTTTAAAAATTATCACCCATTTCAGATTAAGAGAGCCTGACTCAATGAGGCTTTACTGTATTCAGTATAAATCAAATCAAGATACCCGTTGTTGGAAGATTAAGGGTAACAGTGCACGTTGCTGTCATGAGCTAGTAGGGGTGGTCCTCTGGAACTCTGCTCCTTGTACATGTGGCAGAGAAGCCTTGAGGGGGTGTGGGAAGCTTGTGGTTGCTGTGGTAAGGCTCCCCCCATGACTGATCTCCTAGTTAATAGTGGGAGTTTGAGATGCAGAAGATAGATATAAAGGCCAAAACTAAATAGAGGCCTGTCCTGGAACCCAAGCCACCCAGAAGTAGATCCTTCCACCTATGGAATAAGAAGGTGAAGCACATCCTGTGTTCCCTCTGGGAGACATTCACTTGGAACAAATAGCCTTCATGTCTGTTTTGAATGAAAGCAAAAGAGGGTACTCACCGGGAACTGCCGTGATCTTCCCAGGCTGGTGTTCTGTAAGCCCTTGCAACTCATGGGTGCTTGCTAGAAATGCAGAACCCTGGCCCCACTCCGGACCTGCTGAATCAGGATCTGAGCTTAACAAGCCCGCAGGTGATTTTTATGCCCATTCAGGTCTGAGAATGCCTACAGTGTAGACCCTAGCCATATGGACTTTCACACTGTGCCTCAAAATCTCCATTTGTTTTTGCTGCTCCAGGCCTTGCAGCACTGTTGCCTCTGCCTGGAGGGCTTTCCCTCTCTTTCCAATGTGAGAAATCAGAGCTAGTCTCTCCCCACCCCACCTGCTCCCATACCTCTATGGTAGCCTTTTTGCGGCGTTGTCATCGAACCGTCTTTCCCTTTAGATTGTGACTTAGTAGAGGGCAGGGGCCTGCTCATGTTCCTAGGATCTAGTATACAGTGTAGTTCCTGGTTCATAGCAGGTGATCAATAAATGAATTAATGAATGGCTGCACAAACATGCAGACAGTCACAGTGAAAACTACTTATTAAAATGCACTAAGCAGGTCAACTCAGGAATGCAGGGTTAAGGAAAATACTTGTTCGGCGGATTGGAAAAAGCATATGAATTCCTTAATAGAATGTCAAAGGATGATATTCATGGCGGAGTAAAAGGTACAAATAGAAGCAAACAAAGAAACAATTCTGCAAAAGGCATTGCTATTCTCTGCTTAGGAGGTGGGAAGGATTTTGAGGAGAGGGAAAGGCTCCAAGATGGAACATCATGGAGTGTGTAGAAGGGAGGGCCTGAGTCCTGGAGGAGAGGGTTCCGCCAGGCTGGGACCACGAGATCAGGTCGGGTCGGGTTTTACAGGGCTCTGAATGTCCAGCTCACTAGTTGGAACTTCATTCTGCAAGTCAGGGGAAGCCACTGAAAGTCCTGGAACAGGTTAGGACCAGGACCAGGGTGTTGTTTTAGAAAGAATTAATCTGGTTTTAGTGAGGGCAGTAGGCACACTAGTACTTGTGTGAGTGGACTCTGACAAGACGCCTTAACAAGTCCTTTGGTGGAGAGAGCGGGAGGTATCAGGTGCTAGAAGTCCGGGTGGAAAGGTCTTGACATGGCGCCATGAGATGCGAAAACCCCGACTCTGTACTCCTCATTGGACTAGATTAATGTTTCTGTTCTTAACCTTTAAAAATTATTGCCACCCCCCAACTCCCAGGAGAAAATTAAATTTCTCCCTAAAGAAGATTTTGTTGTATAGGATTGAGCTTTAAAAGACCAAAAACCATTGTAATGTGTAAATTTTTTGCCTCCTAAGAACCAATTTTCACCCCATTGGGGGCAGTATCACCCCCACTGAGTT